TTACCGTAAGGTTCATGAATAGCTTTCCTAACTATATAATAGTCTATATTAAGTTGATGATTATCTATTTCAAACACAATCTAGAAGTACTTCTTTTTTCTTCTTTTTCATCCTTCCTACTTTATGTATTAAATGTCAAAATCTGCATTTTTTTGTATTTCCCCTGATGATTTTGTATATAGTTGATTTTTCTACCTTTGCTTTTTTTTAATTCATACTTTCTTGGTAAGTAATTGATCTACCTCTACTGTGGGTTTATTTTCACTGCTGAAAACTGTTTAGGTTTAAGAACATTTCTGCCTGCAGAAGTCCCTTTAACATATCCTGTAATGCTGGTTTAGTGGTTATCTATACCTTTTTAAAAAAAATCTCTCACCAGACATATGCTTCATATACTGTTTTAAGCTACTTAATACATTATGGACATGGTTTCTGATACAAAGCAACGCAATAAAAATTAACTGCTATCTGTCTTTTTCAATATATGTGGATTTACCTCATTCATTTCAACAGCTGTGTATGAATATATCTTAATTATTTCCTGATTGGTATTTGGGTTACTTCCATTTTTTATTATAAAGAGTGTTACCATGGACTTTTTTGTACAAATGTATCTTTGCATATTTATGGAAGTGGTTTCTTAGAATTATTTCTGAAGATGAAATTGCTGGGCCCTATGTCATTTTCCCTCTTTCAGGAAACAGAATCATATAGTTCCTCCTAAGGTTGCAGAGGTCCTCTTTAAGGGCTTTTAATCTAAAACAACAGGCTTTTTTGCCTGTTGTCTTTGCTAGCCTCATGATGGTTAGAAGGGTTGTTTTGCAGTTACTTATTTCTGGGATTACTGGGAGGTTAGTGCCTACTTCATTTTTGATAGACATTTTTCAAAACATGGGAACAGAATATATAGAGCTTTGCAGGTGAAAGGTTATGAGGCTTTGCTATGGAGAAAATTTCAGGTAGTGGTGTTGGAGAGGGTCATGTGCCTCTGGGCCGCTACCTGGGAGACACCCAAGGACCTGGCTTCTGTGGCCGGGAAACTGTTTCAGGATCCATCCTTGCCCCCTGCTTCTAGGTCCCAGGCCTCCTCCACAGATACAGTCAGGTTTGGCAGCTTGTGAACAAACTTGCTTTGGAGTTCAAGTAACAGTTGTTAAGACCCAAACAGACCTCGGAGCTCTGGCTCCCTTTGTCATTGAGGATATTTACACAGGACATGAAAGAACATGGCTCTGGTTTAAGCACCAATGTGGCCTCTTCCTGCCACTTAAAAATTTCTGAAGTTCTGGGATTGTTGCCTCACAGCAAATAGAAATGAGATCTAAGAGCCAGGTCACCTCTCAGTCATTGTTAACAAACACTGAATGCTTGCTCTGAGCTCAGCACTTTGCTGTGTGCCAGAGAGTTTTAGAAACCTGAGGAATGGCCCCTTCCCTCAGAGGGCTGATAATTCTAGTGATCAAAGGCAAGGTATCTAGTGATCAAACAACGTGACCCAGCTTGTACTTGGAATGGAGGTTTCATAAGACGAGCCTCAGAAAAGGTCCTCAGTAAAGGTTTGTTGATTGACCAGCTGATTAGTATGAGGAAGGATTGAGGAGGCCTTGACCTTGTGAGACTGAGCCCTTCTGGACCTCAGGGATTTCTGGAGTCTTTTCTGCTTGGTGAAAGGAGCTCTGGATGTAGAACTAAGAGATTTGAGTACATGCTCAGCCATCACAGTCTGGGTGACTTTGGACAGTTTCTGCCTTTCTTGGCTTGTCATTTCTGTGTTAGTGAGGACAGTAGTGCTGAAATCTCAGTTTCCATTGCCACACTCTGCCCAACACACTTGCCTTCTTTCAGGAATGCTTTGGGTCAGCCTAAGAGTTGAGAATATGGAGGCCAACTCTAGAGTTCAGTACTTCCTGCAAGATGTGTTTGAATTGGTGTCATGAGAAGAAATTGTGACTTGTGATAGCTGGTGTAGTGTGACCCTTCTGGGAGGTCCCTTCCTGAGGCTTTCCTTACTCATCCTCACTCACCCATATCCCCACCCTGGCCACTGTGCTGGGGGCATACATAGGAGAGCTGGGAGCAGGAAAACACTCTTCCCTTCTTCCCAGAAGGAGTCTAATTGGGTCTACCTTCCCTTCCCTATGTCTGCCTTTTCATGTGACCACTGAGAAAAGAGAATTTAACAAATGTGATTGGAGTATGGAACATCTATGATCACCTGAGGCTCTCAGCCATTCCTCACTCCCAGAGTTCGCACCCTCTCTCCTCCACACTTGATCTGTAGTTGGGGAGGTGGAATACAGATCAGCCTGTCGTTGAAGAGTTTCTAATTGGAACAAATATGAGAATAACTATGTCTCGGGAAAGAAGAAAGGTCAGAGATAATCCTTGGCTCTCTTACTATGACTTGCAATCCCTGTGAACGCTTTTTGTTTAAAGTGAAAAGTCAGTCCTTTTCTTTTGTAAACCTTAGTTTTTCTTATTAGTACCAGGCTAGGTATGCACATTTAAACAAAAAGAGCCAATGTGTATGCCTGGGAGTGGTTGTTTATTTTGTGAATCTAGGTTTCTGCCTCCTTACCAGGAAGAAGTGATATCTGAGTGGCTGTGCTGGGACACCCATGTAGTTTGTCTTCTTTCTGAATAGTGGTAGACATTGCTTAGTGTGTGGTCTTGGGGATCAGGGGCCTGTATTCTGCCTCAGGAATCCCGTCCCAGAGCTTAGCCTTTTCCTGAGCTGCAGCCCTTTACTGCACTGAGGTCTTGTATTTTGCCTGAAGGAAGAGATGAGTCTGCAAAATTCCGAAGTCCATAGTTCTAATCTTTGGCCTCTGTGAAAAGGAAATCTTGTTTCTAAATGCCTTTGTTTAAAGATGCTTTCCTAACCTGCTCTGTGGGAATCTCCTGGGCATTTGGGTGAGAACTGTAGCATGTCCTAAAGAGCCTTGTGTTGGTGGAGGAATCTTTTCCTCTCTTATGAGGAAAGCCTCCATAAAATTCCAGTAGTAAAGTGTTTGCAGGTTGGTGAACAAACAGAGGTTCAGGGAGAGTGGTGTGCTTAGAGAGGGCCTGGAAATCCTGCACCCCTTCCTATGTACCTTGCCCTCCACATCTCTTTCATCTGGATGTGCATCTGTATCCTTTATCATATCCACTAATAAACTGGTATATGGGTTTCCCTGAGTTCTGTGAACTGCCCTAGCAAATTAATCAACCCAAGAAGGGAGTCGTTGGAACCTCCCATCTATAGCTGGATTTGGGAAACAAGTGGGAAGGGTTCGATTTTGGATGTGTTGCAGTGCATGTGGAACATCCAGGTGACATTTACTCTGGTTTGCTGGATGAAGAATCTGATGTTTGAAGAGTCAAGGTCAGTGGTTCCATGGCTGCCCAAGGGTGGTGTTTGGGGCCAAGAGGCAACACTTACAGCCCATCCCTTCCCCCTTTCAAAGCCATCAGATGATCCCATCCGAGGCAGCAGAGGGAGATCCAGACAGGTTTTACTTCAGTACCTTGGAGGTAACAGAGAACCCACAGAGGCCAGCAGATTTCAGTGAGTCAGGGGCCTGAATTTGAGATGGTGATACTGACCGACGTGGCTAATTCTTTCAAGGAACAAGCTCATCACTGAAATGTACCCAAAACCTGTTAGCAATCCATCAGATAATAATGAGGAATTTGGAGACCACAGATTAAGGTTTTTAATCAGTATGTTAGTATGACTCTCAGCAGAGAGTTATATTCACTATCTCTGGGTAGATAGTGTCAAGATTGAGTTAAATTGTAGGACACCCAGCTGGTGTCACCAAGAGTCGTTTGGTGTGGGGAAAAACCTGCACACATGTGGTGACCATAAGTGTCAGAAGTGAAGTGTGCTCTGTGAAAGGTAAAGAAGACACAGAAAGAATAAATATATAGTAAGGAAGAACTGGGTTTTTGATAACTGTACCTCCAATTCTGAATATATAATTAAAAGGACATTCTCAGCTCTCTTTTACCCATTGGCCTCAGGTATACTTACAGAAAGGCAGCCTGGGTAGAAGTGACCTCTGGAAAGCAGTACTTCAGCACTTCACCTTGTCCAGTCCCCACTAGACACAGGGCATTAATGGTTAGAACATCTCTGTCTGGAAGCAGATGGGAAAGGGTGCTTGGATCCTCATCCCAAAGGAGTGGAGTGCCCTGATTCACAGCCTGTATCATATCTAAATAAAGCTGCTAATGACCTTTCCAGTCTCAGGGCTCTCAGGGCTCTCATGAATGAAGCCCAAGCTAATTTAGTGGTCACCTGGTGGCAGTGTGCTAAGGCTTATGGTCACAAGTTTACCAGGATTGATTTCAGCTAGCTCTGGGATTTGTGTATTATTTCAGCCATCCATGTTGTGAACTCGGAAGGGGAGGGATCCTGGAACAAGGTGGTGAACTGCCAGGTGAAGATGGTACATTAGCACAGTCGAAGGAGCCATCCAGGAAAGAATGAGGTTGGGGCAGAGTTCCAGGGCGGCAGTGCTGATGGTTGAGGTGGGGTGAGTTAACCCCTGCAGGAGGTCTAGAGGGCCTGGAAAGATCCATGAGGGAGGCCCCGGAGATGTGGCTTTCTGGGCCCTGGCGGGTAATAATGTAGGAGAGAGACCTGCTACATTCCACACTCCAGATTCAGAAAAGGTGAGTCAGAGTAATAAGAAGAATGATTTTAACATTTAAAAACAGAACTTAAACCAGGTAAAAGACCCAGGCAGAGGAGGGAGGCTGGAGGGGGCACTGACAGCTGAGCCCACTGCATGTCCTGCCCCTCTCTCGGGGTTGAGGAGCACTGTGAGAATCAGACCCATGGAGCTCAGACCCAGCCTTTCATCTAGACCCTCCCCTGAGCACTTAGGGCCAAAGCCGTCTTCCCTTCCAGGGAATATTAGGGACAAGGGAGAGGGGGTGAGGAGGATGGCTGGTGTCCATTCAGAGGTGTCCCTGGGTCTTCTGACTGGCCCTTTCTTCTGTCTGCATAGGTGTAGACGGGGCACTGCCTATAGAGCAGGTCCTGCCAGCCTCACGGGAGAGGATGCCCCCGTGTCCGTGATGGGCTGTGGGACAAGCAAGGTCCTTCCTGAGCCTCCCAAGGATGTCCAGCTGGATCTCGTCAAGAAGGTGGAGCCCTTCAGTGGTACTAAGAGTGATGTGTATAAGCACTTCATCACAGAGGTTGACAGTGTTGGCCCTCCCAAAGCTGGGTTTCCAGCAGCTAGTCAGTGTGCAAATCCCAGCTCTGGTGTCCCCACTACCAGCCACACAGAGCCTCCCTCAGAACCACCACGCAGGACCAGGGTAGCTAAGTACAGGGCCAAGTTCGACCCACGAGTGACAGCCAAGTACGACATCAAAGCCCTGATTGGCCGAGGCAGCTTTAGCCGAGTGGTACGTGTGGAGCACCGAGCAACCCGGCAGCCATATGCCATCAAGATGATTGAGACCAAGTACCGGGAGGGGCGGGAGGTGTGTGAATCGGAGCTGCGCGTGCTGCGCCGGGTGCACCATGCCAACATTATCCAGCTGGTGGAGGTGTTTGAGACACAGGAGCGTGTGTACATGGTGATGGAGCTGGCCACTGGCGGAGAGCTCTTTGACCGCATCATTGCCAAGGGTTCTTTCACTGAGCGTGACGCCACGCGGGTGCTACAGATGGTACTGGATGGAGTCCGGTATCTGCACGCACTGGGCATCACACACCGAGACCTCAAGCCTGAGAATCTGCTATACTACCACCCAGGCACAGACTCCAAGATCATCATCACTGACTTTGGCCTGGCCAGTGCTCGCAAGAAGGGTGACGACTGCCTGATGAAGACCACCTGCGGCACGCCTGAGTACATTGCCCCTGAGGTCCTGGTCCGCAAGCCCTATACCAACTCAGTTGACATGTGGGCGCTGGGCGTCATTGCCTACATCCTGCTCAGTGGTACCATGCCCTTTGAGGATGACAACCGCACACGACTGTACCGGCAGATCCTCAGGGGCAAGTACAGTTACTCAGGGGAGGTGAGTCTGCCCTGTTCTGGGGATATTGGTAGGCCCCTGAGAGGGGGTATATCCTGCAGCTCTCAATCAGGGGGATATGCTCCAAGGGTCATATTCACAGGGTCAGGCAGGTAACATAAAAACAGTGAAGTCAGACTAGTGGGGTGGCCTAGTTTGGGTTCCCCTGAAAAGTGAGCCCTGAGACAAGGATTTGGGAGCAGATTGTTAATTAGAATGTGATTCCAGTAAGCACAAGTGAAGGGTGGGGAAAGCCAATTAAGGGTTTATGAAGGAGGGGATGGCCACAGTGGGCCACTGGAACTCAGTCCCACTGGAGGCCCTGTGAATGACCATGTAGAATGTGCTTCAGAATTGTACCACCGAGGGGCCGGAAAGTGGGTGGTTTTCAGTCCACTGACTCCTATATGAGTTGAGAGTTTCTTTGGGGTCCTTGAAGCACTGGCACTTCCAGGCTGTCTTGAATGCCAGTTGTTGCTGGAGGAAGTTGTCAGGTCAAGAAGCAGAGAGGTCAGGCACTGGCAGTGGGCAGCTGGCAGCACACACAAGAGCACTGCAGCGGCTGGTGGTGAGCTCAAGCAGGTTGAGAGCCGATGGGGCAGTGTGTCCACAGAATCTGCTCCCCGGGGACTGGCACAAGCTAGAGTGACCATGCCCTGTCTAAAGACACAGGTGCTTCTCATTTCTGTCTGGTTTTGCCTCACAGCAAAGAGGACCGCGTGTACCCAAACATTCCATTTTTTTAGAGAAGCCAGAAAATTTTGTCTTAAAACATTGCAATCTAAGTCCCATACTTAAGGGTGCCTTGTGTGCCAGCAAACACTAACCTGTGGGCCAGATTCAACCACCAGGCCGTCAGTTTGTATCTTTGGATCAACTGATAGTTATGATATCTGAAAAAAAATCTGTTTGGTTTCAGCACTGCTGAGAGCCAAAGGAAGGTGCAGAAAAAGTAAGAGCTGGTCAGTCCCTAGGCAGGATGCTGACTGGGTAGGAGATGGAACTGACCACAGGAAACAGCGAGTGCTGCAAGTCGGAGGATGGTGTTTGGCTTGGGAGGTTGTGAAGAAAAAATGTGTGATGGCTTTACCTGGGAGGTGAGGTGGGCTTTGCAGGATGGCAGGATTCGGCCAAGGCAGTGAGGGGCCCTGCCCAAGTGCTCCCGACAGAGTGCTCCCCACAGTGTTTCTCTCAGCCTTGGGCCTGCCACGGCACAGTCCCTGCCTCCTGAACAGCTCAGAGAAGGGGAGGGAGCTCTGGGACCAGCTCCCTTCTGCAGCCCAGCTTTCCTTCCAGGGGTTTGGATTGCCCTCTCTGGCCCCAGCCAACTGGCCCAGAGCAGTGCTACCTGCAGGAGTTACCCCAAAGCCTCACGCCACTTTGCCTTCAACACTTGAGGTCCTGTGCTCCATCATCCTCCCTCTCAGTTTCTAGACGTGGTCGTGGGGTCAGTCAAGGATGTCCTTCTTGTGGGGACAGGGACTGGCATTCCCTAGGGAGATACCCAGGTCATGTGTCTCGGGTCATATGTGAGGAAGGGAGGGAGGCCTTCCTCTTCAGACCAGCTCTGTGCTGCTCACAGGCAGGGAGAAACTGGGACATTCTCTAGCCTTCTCCTAAAGTTTCTTACGTTTTCTTCCCTGCTCGAATGGATTCAACAAAACAAATGCTGACTGGCTGGGAAGCCCAGACTATGATGGGGTGGTCACAGAGGACACCGTCCGCTTATCTTCTGGGTCAGATTTCATCATAGGTCAGAAGACCCAGAATCCACATCATAGAGGCAGTGTTGTGCCAAGGCCCTGCATGGCCTGCTGTCATATAGGAGCTTCTATAGTCCTGTGTGTGGGATGGAGTAGCGAGTTTAGCTACAAGAGGGAGGGTAGTTTCCCAAGAGATGCTAACAAAGGAAAGACTTTTTCCAAAGAGTTCCTGATTCTGGCAATTGTTATCAGGCAGTTTATCTAATTGGAGCTTGCAGAGGCTTGCTGACTGGCTATTGATCAGAGGTGGGAGAATGTAAATGAATGGTGTGGAGGATGGGCTTAGGCTTCCTGCTCTCACCAACACCGCCGTAAGACTGGGTCCTGAGACTACTTTCTGCTGTGCTAGAATCATAGGGAAAGACTCAGAGCTCCCAGTGTATGTGTGGGGTGGGTGGGGGCGGGGAGCACTGCCCAACCTTTGGCTCACACTGCCCTTCTTGAAGCTAAAAGCATCATTTCCCAGTTCCAGAGTCAAATCCCTGGACAGCCCTGATGGTACCTATCTATTACCAGGTGCTTGGCTGACCCCCAAAACAGATTCCACCAGGATCTGCAGAGAGTTCTGGATTGGGAAGGATTTTCCCTGGGTAATGAGGCCTTATTATTAGATCAGGCTTTCTGAGGTGGGAACTGCCAGGCATCTGTCTTTCTGTTCTGTTTGTCATTGCCTACCCATAGGTGCATCTGGGGAAGACTCAGAGCAATAAGAAGACCTGTTTCCTTGTCCCCGTTAAGCTTGAAGTTGCCTGGGGGGGGGGAAAGGACTAGAAATAGGAGATAGCCACAGAACAAAACCTTGGCAGACGTAGGTAGAGATGCTGAACATGGGCCAAGTGGGTCCCTGATCCTGACATTCTAGACTCTCAACCCCCAGCCCCAGCCCCATGCTCCTCCGCCGCCCCCCCATACAGCATAGGCCTGAGATGTTTGTTCTGTTTACCCCCCCCACTAAACTTTTGCTCAGGCTCCTCCCTCTGCTCCCAGTGTTGGCCTTAGAAATTTGACCAGCTCTGATCTTCAGATTGCTTCCATTAAGGATAATGCTGATCACTGCCATTGTGTAGCACCTGGTGAGTAGCAGGCACAGGTTTGAGGGTTCTACACCCAAAATGTCTAAGTTCCACAACAATCTTGCCCGGGTGTAATCCCCCACTTTACAGATAAGAAAACTTAGGTGAGTGAAGTGAAGTAACTTGTGCATGGTCATGGGTAGAGAGTTGTGGGCCTTGGAGTTGAGTCTAGGCCCGCTTGGCTTCAGAGTTCTTGGCCTTTCCTTCCCCGCAGTCTCCTGTTCCTGACACCACATGCCCCAGCATGTTGCTGGAGTCTCTGTTTTCCTGGGCTGCTGTCTTTGGACATACCTCTCCCGGACAGCCTGTGAGGTCCCTGAAGGTGGCGTGTGCATCAGTATATGTGCTCCCAGGACTTCCTCCTGGCTGCTCCTGAGGGAAGCTCCAGTTCTTGCTTGTGATGCCCTGGGAAAGGACCCAGAAGTGACCAGGTGGCAGGCAGCTGGGCCTGTCTCTGCTGGCTGGGAGTGCTTTCTTCTGGGGCCAGAGAGCCCACTAGAGAGAAGCTGAGGGGGCTGCTGGCCAGGCCTGTTCAGAAGCCGATTCAGGAATCTTAGAAGAGGAGGGGGCCCTAGGAAGTTCAAGAAGGCTGTGACAGATGACTTTGAGAGGATAAATCTGAATTTCTGCACAATGACTGGAGGTGCTGGAGTGGAGAGGGCCAAGCCAGGGTCATGTTGGAAGTGGTAGAGAGACACGTGCTGGCCAAATGTGAGGAGGCCCGTGTGTGAGAGCAGTCTGAACACACAGAGAGACACCTTAAGAGGAAGCTTCCTGTTGTGGGAGATTCCAGGAGGGCCAGAGCAGCTGTGTCTAAAGGAGTGACACAGAACGTGAGTCGTCATTCTGTAGACCCATGCTGGAGGACTGTCAGCGGTCCCACTAACTTGGAGATTCTGATTCACTTAACATGAAACATGATGTCACTGGCCTACTGTCATTGCTTTTGTCAAGGTTCTATTCCTAGAGACAGGATGGATGAAGAGGCTCTTGTGGGATTGATGGCAGAGTGATGCCATCAGCAGCTTTGCTGTCTGCCATTGTTAGCAACCTTCAATTGTCACCCTCCTCTGCTCGGGCAATCACTGAGCTGTGGGTGAGCCCAGATGGCTGCACCAGGAACAGGTGGGTTTGGGCAAAGGTTCCTACAGAGCCTTGTTGAGGAAAGTGAGTACTGCCAGGCTGGGGACAGAATTCCAGTGGGAGAGGAAGGCCGCCTGCAGAGGCAGAGCTGATCTGCCACTACCTGGGGGGATTGTGTTTGTGGAGAGGCGGCTTTTCATGGGTAGGCTTCTGGGTTGCAGGCTGACCATCCATTACTTGGGGCCTAGGGACACTTGCACAGGGGCAGCACATTAGACCATCCTTAGTTCTGATAGCCCTGCAGTGGGACAAGTGCTCAGAGCCAGTGCTAACATATACATTCCCATCTCAGCTCTTCCCTACTTCTTAAAGTGACTCTGATACTTGCCATTCTGCCCTGAGATGTTGAAAATAAAATGAGGTGCAGAGGATGTGGCATGTCTAAGTGAAGGAGACCAGTGCCTGTGGGGGCTAGTCATGCAGCCTGGTTCCTAGGCTCTGACAGGGAGCAGCTGAGTGAGCAGGGATAGGCCTTTGCCCCAGAGTCATGGGGAGGACTGCCTGGGGCACTTGGGGGAGCTGGAGACTGGATGTGTGTGCAGGCAGCAGAGCAGAGTGCAGGGAGGCAGGTGGCATGTTTCCAGGCTCATGTTTGGATTTTGCGGGATGTCTTTAATTGCCTCATGTTCCCACCTCCAATGTGGATGAGGCTGTGATGGACCATCTGCTCACCCACTGTTCTGTCCTCTGCTCCCAGAGTCAGAGGATGGTTTTCCTGTGTCTGTCTCAATAACTGACAGCACAGGAAAGCACCACTTGATTTAGAATTTTTGCTGTGAGCTATCTCTGAGCCCTTCGTCCTTGCCTGCCTGTTGGTGGCTTCTGGGTGTCAGATGCTGGAGGATGATGCTGGCTTTATGTGAGGATTCCATGAGGACAAGCAGATGTCCCCATACCTGGCCAGGAAGGAGCCTCTGGAAGGGCCATCCCCACCTCATTAAAGCTCCTGGGACATGGTAGGTGTCAACAGATAAGTCTCCCTCCTGCACTGTGGGAACAGATGCTCTCAGTTGAGATCCCTGCC